GTAGTCGGAAACGTCGAGCTGTTTCTTGTCGTTTCAGTCTGGTATGAGAATTCCAAGTTAGACGTTTGTCTAAGTGGAGTCCAAGGTATCGAATTTGTTCAACAGGATAAGTGGGTATTATTAAAGGATACTGTAGGACAAGAGGACATAGGTTTACGACGAAGGGTAAAGGTGATTTGATGGGATTTATAAAAAATTTAAAAAAAGTTTCGATATTTGAAAATAATGAAATAATATAACAATCTACGTGAGAAGTGTTGCCAATGACCCGGCAGGATAGAGACAATAATAATAAAAAAAGAAATAATTAGACTAGTAAGTGAAAGTTGTTATATTATAAATAAAGATAATATTAAAAACAATTTCCCACGTATTTTACTATCATTTTGTTTCATATTTATGTGGAGATGATTTGTCAAATCTGCATGATTTGTCTGAAACGTTGTTTATAAAAAACCTCAGTTTATTGTTATGTAATACGTATGATAAATGTTGAGTATGCAGTCATTATAAAGATTATATTGATGCCGACGTTTTCAACCCAAACATGTGTCTGATGATCCACATGTTTGGGTTAAAACTTCGGCATCAATAAAATCTTTATAATGACTGCGTCCTAAATATTTATCACCCATGATATGTACAACAGTCGACTAACTTCCTTCAATAATTCGTTATGTATTATAATTTCATCTTGATGATCCTCACTTATAAACTCGGATACACGAACAGCTTAAGAAATCTTTATTGGTATGAAAACAAACACAGTGTTACATAATAAGAGCTACAACACGACTGAGTTAGGAGCTACTGCTAACTAGGTTTACTACTAAGACCTATATATAGTGGTGGGGAGAAGTTCCTGATGCTGCGGTATAACATTACGGTAAATGGTGTCTAGCTCTAGATATAATAATCTTCACGATGACCCCATAATCGAATCTTTATTTTTTTTTTTAAGGCACATGATGTGACTGATATTGGTATGCACCACAAATATTGAACACTTCAGGAATATTATTTCTAAATCTATCAGCTCAGAGATTTAAGCACCACTTTTTAGAGACATTAAAGTGAAGAGTTTAACAACATGAGTAACTACATTTAGTTTTCCCGGACTACTGGGTCTCAAAGTTCCTCACAGGGCATGGGGGTTTTCGAGCAAAGCCCGTCAAATATGGTAAGAACGTTGATCTCCTATGCCCAAGTTGCAGACTACCGGAGACCGCCGAGCATATCGTGCTTGTTTGTACCACCTTTGAGGCACTGAGGGCCAAGTTGTTGAAAGAGACGGGACTTTCCATTCTGGCGGATAGCAATCTCCCTCAACTAATGACTAAAGTGAACTACCCGTACTACAAGGCCTTCGTATACGGGTGGAAGGAACTCGTTGGTCCAAACCATATTTCATTGGAAAGAAGAGATGGACCTGCATCTGGAAGGCCGCCAGAGAGGGTGGAAGACGTCGGCTGAAAAGAAGAGCAGTCCAAGAGTTCAAGAAAAAGAAAATGTGTAATTGGTCTGAATGCAGCAGTGAGTTGTAACGCATGCGCTGCTACTCAATGCTGCATAACACCCGTATTTCCTCAACGGCAGGGAGTATTTAAATTTATTTAAATAAATTAAATAAATAACTACATTTAGTAATACTGTTTAATTTATGATGCCAATCCTTTCTAAGGCCGTCAGGATATTGACATAATAATTATACTGTAATCAAATCGATGTATGGGGAATATCACATATTACTGTTTATCCGAGTTTCGTGAAATTTTCAGAGAATGTGCGGATTGGTATCCAGATGGTCCCATTTCAATTCCATCCAACACATCCGCATAAGCACGAACAAATGTATTTCCTTAGCTATAGCAATATATCAGAAACGGCTAGTTCGATTTGACGCAAAGTTGAAAGAAAGATAGGCCTTGGTAAAAAAATAATGCTGTATCAATTTCATTGCATTCGGTCAACTGCTTTCGGTATGCCCAAGGCTTAAATATGCCCAAAAATATTTTTCGTGATACGTTTATATCTTAAAAACCCGCACGTTCAATTTGGCTCGAAGTTGGAGGAAAGTTAGGGATAGACAGACAAATGATCAAGTAGATATCCATTTCAGAAAATTCCATCCCCTACTTTCAGAAAATACTTCCGCTTTGGAATCTGAAGACGTCTTGTAATTAACTCGCCTATTTTTTGAAAACGGCTTGTTCTGTTAGATTCAAAGTTGAAGGACATGCAGAGAATAGTTTAGGAATTCCATTTTATCGATTTCATAAAATTCTATTCAACAATTAAAATTAATATAAATAACTTTTAAAAATGCAATGGGTGTGAAATGTGGAAGACATTGATCATGTGTAACTGTGGTTATGTTCATAGTATTGTTTCATGAGGTTTTAAAATTTTGGACTGTATTTAAAAAAGTTAATTTAAACTGGATGTTTTGTCGTTTACATATTACTGGTATGACAACTACTGCCGCTACAAAAAATTGTATGTAATTTTCAGTGATTGTGGGGGTTGAAACTTGAAAGGCCCAATATAGATTTTGCCGAATCCCTTCACCAGCTTTCGCATAGGCATGCGATTTTTCTTTACTATGTGTACCGTATATTTGTAAATTTATATTGAATTTTGAACACTGTAAAAAATAACGTCATATTTGTGAGTTTTTTTGTTCCTTTTGAAGTTCAACCTGGTTCTGGTCTCAATTTCTCTCTCAAACTTCAAAGTGGTAAGGGGCTTTATGCCAGATCTTTTTGAACTAGTTATAATTGAAGGGTAGGATATAAGCAACGATAAGTTTTAAATATGTATCAGCCTTAATTTCCTGTATTTTGTTAACTTCATTCATATTCCTATATTTTTTCTTAATAACTTTTGTTCTAACTGATGGAAAATGTCGGTGAATTTGGTGAGGAAGCTACTAATTTTATAACTGACCAACTAACCAACTAATGTACTAATTTTTATACTGATCTTACTATATTATATGGCTTATTTATATTATTCACCTCTTTCTACATCTCTTATTTCTGATATATTTTATGAAAGTTTTAGCCCTGGTGATGACCAACAAACTGGGAAAGCAATGTCGACAAGCATAATAAACCATATATAGACTGCAAATCCTGAATATTTGTCTCTCTCATAACTTTAAAATAATAGTCAACAATATATCTATCACTAAATTATTTATTAATTGTTTTTTTTTTATTAGGGGTCCTCAAAGATACAATTGCTCTCGGAACCAATTAATAAGTCGACTCCATATCAGGGAGATTTTTTTTTACTATCTTATATTTTTTACCGGGGAGATATATTTTCTGGAACATCAAACATAATAGTCAGTGGTACAGACCCTTTTTTTTAAATTATTGATATCCGCGTGAAACTTAGTAAATAGCTTATTCTCATCTTAGCCTGCAACTATTTTATTTACGAAATTTCTCGGAATTAAGGCATTTTTAATTAGCATACTTTGTCTATTTAATTAGGTACTAAAACTCGTAAATACTTATTTGCTTTCCTCTTAAATCGTAAAATAATTAGAGCGTAAAATGTAGAAAAAAAGGTGGCATAAAAAATATTGGTCGGTTTGGCGTTACCTACACTTCCAAAATGTCGAAATAACGAGCTTACATATGCCAAACGGCCCAATATTTTTGTATACTAACCTTTTCCTCGATTTTGTGATCAAATTACCTAACTATCCAAGTGGAAAGTAATTGGGTATTTACGAGTTTTAAGTACCTAATTAAATAGACAAATTTTGCCGACCTCCGTATTGAAAACGCCCCAATTCCAAGAGTTTTCGTAAATAAATTGTTTGTAGGTTACGATGAGATGAAGCAACTCACGAAGTGTTAGCCGGATATTAAAAATTTGATGAAAAGGGGTCTGTAAATTTACCCCGGGTCAGAAAGGGTCTAAGTACTTCTTTCTCAATTATATGATCAAATAATCTTACGATTCAAGTGGAAAGCTTGGATGTTTATGGGTTTTTAATAGCTCACTAAACCGATAATGCTTAGCGATCTCTAGATTGAAAACGCCGAATTTTTTAGAATGTTCGTTCATAAAAAAGCTATTGATCAAGATAAGAAAGATGTACCCATCCACGAAATTTTAGACGAATGTTATTTTTTTTTAATTTATAGATTACACGTAATTCTGACTTCAAATAAATTTACCATCTACTACTGTATTCAGAAAATATGGTATCAAGGAGAATAAAACATAGAAAAAAAAAGAAAAAAAAAAAAGGAGGGTAAAATGGAAATAAGATAACGTAATAACGCAAAAACAAAAGATAACACAGCAACTAGCTCAATGTAGTAAGTCTTTTAGCACAGAAGTCTTCTGGGTGCATCATATGGATTTGTAGTAGACAGAACTTTAGTGAGTGGATTTGAATTTTATTACAGCTGTCTGTAGTAGTTGCCTTGATAATGTAATGTCAATGTCATTGTGTAACGTAAGGCTTGAAGCATAAAAGGGTGCGTCTACAATTTTCCGAAGGACTTTTGACTTCAATGACTGAGTTATATTTATATGTCCAAATTGTTTTAATGACCATATGTCCGAAGTGGTTTAATGAAGACTTTTTAAATAATTATTTCATTAGTCACCCATAATTTACAACGTCTGTCAAGCATTCTAGAAAGAAGTCCATATCGCTGTTTTATTTTTTTGTTTTATGAGGTATGTCCATGTCAGTCATTAATAATTTGGGAAAAAGAGATCTCTACATCTGATCATATTTATAAAAGAGTTCAAGTCATTTTAGAGCACTTACCATGTTTTTTTTTATCGATAAATATGATCGAAATTGACAAAAGCGTTCTTAAAAGTTGAGCGACGACATTAATTCAAGCTCCAGGTGGATCCTAACCGAGATGGGATAGGCTTTCAATGATCCACTGTTTGGATCCTGACCATGGTTATTGACCATTACGGTGTTAACTCCTGGGGGAGGTGGGGGATGTCCTTAGAGGGGAGAGCTAGACTCAGGCTGTAAGCTTGTACTCCCTTCAGTCTCGAACTCGCAGTGTCTGTCCGTTTGTCCTTTCGATACGACTTACATCGTATTTTTGGTTTATTTCTTGATCAGAGGTGAGTACTATAAATAATTGACGTTTTCTTTGCTGATTTATGCAATAGGTGTGTGACAATATTTTGAATTTTTGATCAATATTTTTCAAAGACTTATATAAGATAATACAATTAATATATTATCCTATAAAAATATAATCAATAGATCGATCATTTATAAGACATTAAAATGAAAATTATATAAAATCATTATAGGTCAATTATACATTTTTATTGAGTATGCTCACCTTTTTAAATATTAGTCAAAAAATATTTTTTATCAGTTTTTATATTATTTTTCCCTCATCAATTGATATATTTAAAAAAATAAAATCCTGTTTTGAATATCGATAAACGCCTATTCAATATAAAATATACATTTTTTTATATACAAAACTGCAAATATTTTTCAATAAATTAAAAATCTTTTTTTTTTTTAACGTTTAATAATATAAATTAATCTCATAATATTATATACGTTTCTAATTACTGTACTAATATCGTTCACTACACAAATAAAACCAATAGCACAATAATTTATAAGACGTTAGCATCAAAATTAGATAAAATTTGTATGGAAATATAGATATTTTTTTTTACTATGTTCACTGTCATATTTAAAGAATTATTAAGATATATTATTGCCAATTTTTTTACGGTTATTTTCCTCTCACCAATCGTCGATATATTTCTTTTAAAAAAATCCTGTTTTGAATAAACATAGAACATATATATTACATAAAACTGTAAATATTTTATTAATTTCGTATTTAAAAAAAAAAAAGTAAAATCCCAGTTTTTTTATATGTACAAAGATTCAAATGTATCCAAGAATATTATGTACGTCTCTAATAGACCTAACTTTTAATAATAATTCTTCTAACGTAATGCTTACTTCGTGTAAAATAGCTTTATATCTACATTTCATTTTTATGATATTCAAACAGTAACATGATATAAAAGTTATGTTTAATCATTTTTTTTTTTTTTTTTTAGATTAAATATGATTTAAAAGTACATATTAAAAAAAAAATAATTTGACTACACTTTGCAATAACAACGAATTTTTTTCATTTTATTTTATTACGTTCATAAAACCCGTCAAACAATAAGGAAATAATTTAACGAACGACATTGTTTGAATAATTTTTTTTTTTTACTCGCTTTTGTCAAAAAGAAATTATAAGATGCCAAACTTTTTCATTACTGTTGTATGAACAATATATTTAAAAAACAAGACATTTTTTGCCGTGTAAATATTTATATTTACAAAATTTTAGGAAGTAAACTAAACGAACAAAAACATAATAATTATCGATTTTGGCTTCCTTTAATTATTAAGCTAGTATTAATTGAATAAGCTGTATATATCAAACCAACAGAAAAAAAGTATGATGTATATCTAATTATAAAACATGTTTCAGCAAATAATTAATTTGATAAATGTTATTTATCAATCATGTTTAAACCTTATTTATTAATTTGTTTTCGAACTGAACTGTCTTCATATACCAAACGAATGACCTTACCCAATGTCAGATAATAGGTTTAAATATATTATAAAATAAGTAAATATGATAAATGTAATTTATGTACCCGTATCAATGTTTTAATATTTTTTCTTCACCGTATATAATTTTCCCTCAATGAAAATTATATGGCTGAACATGATATATAGGATTATTAATAATAAAGGAAATTCATGTAGGAAATCATGCATAACCTTCGGTTTTGCTTTTCTTCTATTTTTTTTCCCCCTGATTATATTTCTACTTTTTATGAGAAAAATATGCGATAATCACACATGTAATCTGTCTGGCAGTAATAATTCCTAATTACTTCGAAATATAATTTTTTTATTCAACTGCAGGATCGCATATCATGTAAGTTCTAACACCACCTGACTCAATTCTTATAACATTGAAAGAGATTAAAAAGATCTCCTTAATTTCGTTGCATATTATCACCTTCTTATAATTTGTGAGACATTTTAACCTTATAAAGTCTTACAAGAGGAGATTACGGATTTCTATGAAACGTTTTTGGTGATACTAGGTCGAAAATTTTTTAGACCCATGTCCGAGGTATCTTGGCAATGAACCCTAGGAACTGATAAAAAAAATATTTTATATAATTTGAAACAAAATTTATTTTATTTATTTTTTACTTTGCTTTGCACGGATTGTTAGGTTATTATATATCAATCAATTATTTGTTGTGCAAAATAAGAAAAAAATATTAATTATGGTATTAAATGATTGATAAAGTTCCTTAATTAACATAAAACAAAAGGCGCTTCCTGTAAAGTAGATCAAGTAATTTTTGTTATAAAACGAAATTTAGATTCGTTTTTAGTGTTCTTTTAAAACCCTTAGATACAAATTTTTATCGAAAACTAAAATTTCAAATTTTAGTTTAGTATATGATTTTCTTGAAAATTATTTTTCTGGCCGTTAACTAAAGTATTAATTTTTTGGTTGCTTTTTTGGCTTAAAGATTTTAGACAAATCTCAATTTTGCCATAAAGCATTCATAACTTTTCAAGATTTTGTCCAAATTCAATGCCAGTACAACAGTTGGAAAGATGAAGTAATGCTCTCCAAACCACATAAATAACGTTCAGGAAAAATTTCTCAAATATTTTTATTTTATATCTTCGATTCTAATTTGTTTACGGAGGTCGGGTTTGTACCGTTTCGTATACCATATAAACTCCTAGATACCTAATAATTTTCATTTGAATCTGTGGAGACATGGTAAGTTATCACAATATTTTTGGTTGTCCACAAAATTTCGAATGGTCCATCCTAGGAAAACATTTCGTGCAGAAAATTGCCATAAATTTTTTATTTAATTAAGGATTATCTGAAGTTCGAAAATCGAATATCAATTTGTTTCTCACTAAAAAAATATTTGCTTTAGATACCGAACCAATTTAAAAAAAAATATTGTATTTGCCAGATAGCTTTTGTATGGGAGCAATATGGAGATAAACATGTTTTAGTGAGAATAATGGTGATATTAGTTTTACGAATTTTCAAATTAAATATTTTTGTACGAATTTTCGCTAAGACTTGGACCCTTCGATTTTTTTTTTTTTGATAATCACAAACATCGTGTTAACTTCATAATGTCTCTACTGATTCCAACGAAGATTATTAGGTATGTAGGGGTTTCTATCGTACACGAAATGATATAAACCCGACCAAAATAAACAAATTAGAACCAAAGACTCTTTTTTTATTTTAAATATTTTATGATTTCAATTTATTGTTTAATTTAATTTCATCTAAAATCAATGTAAAATAAATATTTTGTAAGGGCTAAAATGACCCGTAAGAGGTTGTAAATAAATAAATAATAAATTTTGTAATTTTTGATTTATTTAAATTTCGTATTTAAGAGTTTCAAATGACACTAAAAAAAACTTTTTTTTCGTAATAAAAATTTATTTAACTTTACCTGAAACGCCTTTCGGTTTTTGTAATTTATGGTAAATTACAATTAATTTAATACAATGGTCAACATTTTTTTTTATTAAAAAAAATAATAGATTGATACATAATAAGCTAAAAATCCGGGCAAAGCAAAGTCAAAAATAAATAACACGAATTTTGTTCGAAATTATATAATTTTTTTTTTTTTGGCACCTAAAGCCCATTGGAACGAACGATATTTTTGAATGAAGTTTCACCGAAACAAAATTAGTTAAAATTGGCGATCCACTGACTGTAGGCTTCCTTTGCTAGTAACATACAGCCCTTGGTTAACATTTGATTGTATGCGACGAAATTAATCTAATTAGGAATCTACCTGATTTTCGTTATAATTAAGTCAGACTGTATCTGAATTTATATGACGAGTTCATATATTACCAATTCATCTAAAAATAAAAATGAATACAAATTGTATTGAAGTTTAAACGAAAGTTTTCTATACCTTCTAAATAAAATTGATGGTATTTTTTATAATTTTCCTAGTAAATACGTTATATGATTATTAAAATTAGAAAAGGATGTATTGGTGAGGAGAATAGCGATGAGGTATAAGTTAATTAAGGGCTGAAAAACATAAAACTTTTTTTTTGTGATTTAAAACTTGTATACAGTGTTTAGTAGATTTAGGAACATTTTTCTTAGCATCGATTTCCTTCATTACGACTCATATGAAGACGGATTTTTTTTTTAATCTTAGTATAGGTTGTCTATTTTTTACTATTAATTTCAAAATTTGTTCGAAGTTCTGAACAAATAGGTGTTAAACCACCTTTAGCCGAAATCAATACAATAGATGTTTACATTAAGATTAACTATTGTCATATTTTTATTATACGATTTCTGTTTCTAAAAATTATCAATTATCTTTTTTTTTTTTTTAATATCGCCTACACTGCGTTTTGATTATTTAAAAAATGTAAACAAAATATTGAGTCATGCATGTCCGTGGAGCCACGCCGTTTTTTTTCATATTATAATATGCATAAGAAACAGGTTTGAAGTAATAAAAGAACTCTTTTGGCACATTACAGACTACGCAGAACATCTTTTCGACGATTAAGTATTTGAAATTTCCTAACTTATTAACAAGCTTATACATTTTCCTCTACATTGTCGAACCTTCGGTATCTACCATCCAGAGATTATTCTAGTTATCGCCACAAAGAAAGATTCTAATGGTACAGTTCTTACTAATGTGTACATGGCATTTTCTGACATACTTTTATATTTGTGGCGAAGCATATTCAATAATAACTATTATTCCAGTGTGGAGTTGGAAAACTGATTATGCACTTTAAGAGAACACCTCTGGGTACGCTATGATCTAATAGAAAAAATAATCCTAAAATTCAGATGAAAAAATAATAGTAAATTGTCATAAGTAAGTATAAATCGTAGTTATAGCATATAAAATAAAAGAAATGTGTTCATAATTTTAACAACCTATGGCGCAAGAACTGTGGACATACAACAGCAAAAAAAATAATTATTGGTTTTTCGGAGATTTCTGATATATCTATAAGT